AAACATGTGACGATACATAAGAACATACTAAACATGTGACGGCACATAAGCAACATATGAAACATGTGACGATACATAAGAACATATCAAACATGTGATGGCACATAGGGACATATCAAACATGTGACGGCACATAAGAACATATCAGACATGTGACGGCACATAAGAATATAGCAAACATGTGACGGCACATAAGAACATATCAAACATGTGACGATGCATAAGTACATTTCAAACATGTGACGGCACATAAGTACATATCGAACATGTGACGACACATAAGAACACATCAAACATGTGACGCCACATAAGAACATATCAAACATGGGATCGATACATAAGAATATATAAAACAAGTGACGGCACGTAAGAACATACCAAACATGGGATCGACACATAAGAATATATCAAACATGTGACGGCACATAAGGACATATTAAACATGTGACGATGCATAAGAACATATCAAACGTGTGACGGCACATAAGAACACATCAAACATGTGACGCCACATAAGAACATATCAAACACGTGACGGCACATAGGGACATATCAAACATGTGACGGCACGTAAGCACATATCAAATATGTGACGGTACATAAGAAAATATCAAACAAGTGACGGTACATAAGAAAATATCAAACAAGTGACGGCACATAAGAACATATCAAACAAGTGACGGCACATAAGAACATATCAAACGTGTGACGACACATAAGAACATATCAAACATGGTATCGATATCAAATATGTGGAGACTGTTACGCCTTAATTTACATTATGATAATTTGACCTGTCATTTATATAAATAGGAACACTGTGAATGTAAATTATCTCATTATATATTCATGTGGTACTTACTTTATACACATCGTGGTTCTCTATGATCGAATCAAAGGTAGTATACAAATCGTTTAATAGATCCACAACCTGTTGAGAGAAATACATCAGACTATCAAATAAACACATGGAATAATATATAAAGTGGTGACATATATATCAATATCCATTACCGATCCATGGCAAATCACATTATATATGGTGACTAAATTGACGTACCTGCATCGGAGTACAACTCCCCGCTAGCGCTGTAAATCCTACTATATCACTGAAGAATATTGTAACTGAATCAAAATTTTCAGGTTTCAAGTCCTTTCCTTGTTTCAATTGTTCAGCAACGGCTCTAAATCAAGACAAGAAGAAAGCCATATGTTAATTGTCAACTTCACATTGACCTTATTACAGTTTATTCGCATATTGAAAGTATTTAAAGTATTTAACATATTAAATAATGACTGACAACAACTAAAAAGCAGACATTGCTCTCTGTTAACATTGAGTGATTACTTCCTCTTTCCATAAAATTTTTGACAACTCACGTTTACGATTACATTCGTTCTATGTTAATGTTTACCCACATGCTGGTAGCACTTTGGGGTTTTCATTAATGACGATAATATATATCAAACCATTTATAAAACGAAACAGTGTTATCTCTGAACTGAAATCATAAAACATGTACGTCTATTTGCATGTAAAATCTTATAGCATTACCAAAAGAAACTCTTACAGTGTAAATATCACAATATTAAAGTCAAATTAAACAAAAATTGTGACTACGATTCTACCATACCTTGGAAGCATTCTGTAAAGAAGTTCGTCGGTTTTTCTTTGTTCTTCGGCAAGTTGTTTTGTTCTCTCAGACACCAAGTCTTCTAAATGGTTGGCATATTTCTCCATCATTTGAATCATGTTGTCAATCAAATTACTCTGCCTAGGTAAGCCAAACAGAGTTAATTCATAAGAGAAATTGTACCATGTAAAAGCAAGAAGACTAATAATTATGAATAATAATGGGACAAACAAACACAATATCCATTCAATTTGTAATGAGATTATTGATGTATTACGTTATAGCTGTCAACTTACTTTCCCTTATTGATTTTCTTAAGTCTTTGAACAATTTGACTGAATGTAGGTCTGTCGTTGGGATTTGAAACCCAGCAATCCCTCATCAGTTGTAGGTACCTAGAGTCTACTGTTTCAGATGTAACTTTTGGTCGAAACGGTGGAATTTCATGGTTCGCAACTTTTTCTGCAATTTCTGTAAACCAATACACGTAGTTATGCACATAGTATTCACATATCACGTGACTGTAATCGACGCAAATTACAAGTAAGGTTCTTCTTCATGAATTATAGAGCGACATACACTAGTATATCATAGTCGGCCTTATAATATCATATCTATCAAACCACCAAATAAACATTACTACACGATTGTAATGATTCTCATATTGTAGGCTCACGAATTTGATATCCTATCTATTTAATGTGTCCGTTTCACTGCTTTTGAACGAGTATGATGGGTGTAATGTTTGATAGCCTATCTCGGACTCATTTGCATATCATATATCGTTTGTTTAAGGCGACTATAGAAAATACCGTCTTTTATCATTTTCATTGACGCTAATGTTTATTGTGTTATCTGTCTTTGTTTTCTAGCTACGAATAAACAAACACGAACAATCATTCCGTTGAACAATTTTGACAGATTGTAAATAAAAAAAACTAAACGATAGATAGATTGCATACTCTAAAATTAATGTGGAGCCGGAGATCTTGCATTGTAATGATAGATTGCTTTGACCTATGACATTGGTAATCCCTTAAACAAACATTTGTACGGTTTATGCACTACTGTATTCACCTATATCTAAACTTTCAGAATATGTATAGGTTGTTATAGTAACAAGCTTAGGATGTCTAAATTATAAATCGACTCGTGCTTCTCTAGTTGATACCAGGGACACACGAGTAACATATCGACACAACTCAATCCGTGACCATTTCATACTTCATAAAACAGCTAAAGAGCGTGTCATGGTTAAGTTGGAAGAATTTGAAATGATTGGCCGATTATCATCAAATGACGTCACCGAACTTAAGTAATATCTATCAATCAAAATGTTTAATGAGGAAACTTCAGATTTACAAATCTCGTCGATGCAATTTATTCTTACCTTTTGGTTCTAGATCAGTCATACAGTACGGTCCGCCACGAGTTGCAATCTCCTGTAAGATAATGGAGTAGGAATACACATCTCCTTTCTGACTTCCAATTTCATGTTTTTGAAATATGTTGCCTTTCTCTATTTCCAACAGTTCCGGGGCCGCCCACAAAAGACCTGTAAATTAAGATTAAGAATGTTAAAACTCTGATTAATTTGTCTATGAAATCCATGGGATTTACTATGGCACAATTAGAGTTGAATATTTAAACTCACGTCTGTACTCAGCATGTTCACCGTGGCTACGTTGTTCATCACTAGCAATAAACGACTTGAGACCAAAGTCCCCGATTTTACAACACCAACGGCTATCGATTAAACAATTCGAGGATTTCAACTTCCCATGCGACTCAATGGGAGATGAATGCAGGTACTCCATGCCCTAGAATAGAAACAATTACAATGACTAAAGTAACATAAAACGTTTACTGTAGTTTGTATTTACGCTGAGAAATTCTTATATATCAAGAAATGCTTTGGAATCAGTCACAGTCTATATAATTATTTTAATTACGCACACGTTCAGTGTTTCCATTGTACATTTAGGTAAATATTCTAAAACATGTATTGACTTACCTTTGCAATATCTAATGCAAATGACATTTTGAACATCCAGTCTAGTTTGATACTGTCGTTTTCTAGCACATCCTGAAGATTGATAACAAATACAAATAGAAAACAAATTTAGTTTCAAAAAATACCCTAAATAACACATTTATTCGATCATATCAGTAGCAATTAATATACGCTTTAGGTTGTTTTGTGTTTTTTCTAAAACTTGTATATCCGACCCACAGTTTGCACACATAGGCCTCAGCGCACCGGGTCCTAACAAGCAAGAGTATTATACTATGTAATGGTGCGTGCTTACAAATACAAATTATTGTAATGATAGGGATATCACTAACCTGTAAACTGCCTTTGCTGCAATAATGATACACGACACATATATTTGGATAATCAATGCAAGCACCGACAAATGGATTGATATTGGGATGGCTGAAATCATGGACCTAGAAAACGAGTACATTGTATCGGTTAGTTGCCGAAATGGTTGCATGTTAATATTATATTATCGTAAAATAGAAACATCTACACATATCGCATTAAGGGCGTTCTGGAAATCTACCTGCTTCAGCTCCATGAGCACTTCACGTGTGAGGTGAATAGACCGCCTATTGACGGGTTTGATGGCCACTAGATGACCCTGGTATTTGCCTATCTGTGTAAACAGCTGATGCGTGGAACTTGTATTGTCCTACAGAAAATAGAAATTCTAGTGAATAGGATGTGTATTACCAATTCTGATATAATACGTCGTCATGTACATCTACATATTGTATACTTAGTTCATATCATTGTCTTCGTATGTGTCAGTGGCATGTTTCGATTACACTTAATACCAATATTATTTTGATCATTATAACGAACAGCCCACCATGCTAATAACTGTACATGGTGAACTATCTAACAAAACATATGCAAATAAGCCAGCGTATGTTCACACAATAAGTACGTTGTAAACCCTGTACGCATGGGGTTTACATCAATTGCTTCGTTCTAATACACAGATGAGATAGACAGTCACTCTTACATTTCATCTGTTGGTTGAATTAGTAAAAGTAAGATCTAACGCTGAATAACAATCGCATACATACTAGTGGCCATACCTTGTTAAAACTAGATTTGCTACCAATACATATCATACTTGTATGCGTGGCTTTCTGGTGTTCAGTTAATGTTATGTCTTCATAGCTAATTTTCCATAATTTACTCATAAGCTTTTGTTCAAACCGATGGTTTCTATAAGATAAAGATATTTACAACCTCCATGTCAAGCAGTGTTCAATATTCATATTGTATTGATGCTACAATTATTTTAGATTAAAATTACGAATTCATGTAAAATATTTTCTTTTCTTATATAAATATTTATGGTGTAATGTTTACCTGTACAGTATTAGACAAACAATTAATGCTACAATTAGCACAAATCCAATACAAGATCCGACTATCACTGGAGTAATATCTAATGAAACAACAAAAACAAATTCACCGAGTTAATTTGGTATTGCAAGGAATTAAAAAACGTCAGGTCTTTGTAAGGGTGTTCATATCCTGCAACAACAACAAGACACTTACCGAACTCTACTGGAGGACAGAATTCCTGATACCATCCACAGTCGGGCCTACCTATAGGGGGCGTAGTACTGCCACCAGGGAAGTAGATCGTCGAGTCTGGTCGAATGTCAAACATGCGACGACTGAAACAAACGTACATTAATAAGAATTTGTAATAAAAATACATGTGTGATATTTTTAAATAAGTCTAACGTGGTACTTGGATTTGACCTTTTCGCCGAGATACTTTCAGTCTGGATTATTGAGTAGCAAATGGATTTCACAGCGTGGGTTTGCCATGATCTCGTGAGTTGCTATTTGATACAATTATTTTGAACTTAAAAACGCTTTCATTGTCTAAACGTCACGATCAATATCACGGGGATAATTAGCAACTGATTCTGGTAATGCGCTTAATTTCTTGTTACAAAAGAAAAACAGAAACGACTTTTCATAAACAATTCTGAATACAAAATGGTAGATTGTGTTACGTCATTTGAGGAGTAAGAGACGATGCTCTGTTCATTATTGTGTAATGAAAGCACGAAATGTCAAAAACTCATAATACGCACGGAAATCGACCACGTGGATAAGATGGAATATAAGCTCGTATTTAAATCTACCTGACAAAACAAATGTATATGCTGGAAACCCTTCAGATGAAACAATTATTTCCCCACGCGGAAGAATCAAGCAATGTATTGCTTATTCATATACAGATAGGTACACGTGGTCAAACATTGATTTCAAGCACTGCCCTGTCATTGGTCTATTAACCGGACAGATCGTGGTATCGATGTACCAATCAGAATGCGTCGTTGATGTAACAACATACTACAGTGGCGGCGTCACCGTGGGGGCAGTGGGGCGGTCGCTTCCACGATAAAATAAGGTGAAACACTCATTTATATTTGTAAGAGAAATATAGCTAAGCGTACCATCAAAATTTGCTCCCCAAAATGCAGGAAATAGCGTTTCAGAGGGTCTAGATTTCAACATTTTCCCGGCGGAGCATGCCCTCGGACCCCCCAAGAAACGTCGCGGCCTCGGCGCTCGATTTGTTAACATTCACCAAAAATCTTCGCCCCACAGTCAAAAAAAAGCTGCCACCGCCTCTGTACTACTTAGCATATATCACTTTCATTTATTAGATACGTTAATCTTTCTGAATTAAGTAAAACCTAAATTAACACTAAAAATCAAGATAACAACAACTGACATATTACCTTGGGAACCAATTAACCACGGGAACAAGTTCCCCGTCAATGACATTAAGCATTTGGTAACTAGGTAACCGATCACCATCATTGCCAATAACCACTTCTCCATCAGCGCCTATTGATAAAAAACGGAGAGGTAGAATAACTGACCTCGATGTTATATCACTTAACTAATTGTATAGGAATGATTGCGCTATTGTTAATTTGTTCAGTACAATCTCAACTTCCAGTGAAAAAAAAATAACTGCAAGAACCAGGATTTGAATCATAATAATTAAATGATGTTGTCCTATTTTTATCCCCAGCTGACGACGTAGTTTAAAGATGAACAGAATTGATTCGTACGTGTGTAAGTTGTTAAAGCATAGATCTTATAAAGCAATGTTCAAAATTTGATTTTCAAGACAACTGACAAATGCGAACATGTGTAGCATATGTCTCAATTACAATTATTATTGTAACATCGACAGTTCTAACCCTAATTACACGAGGTAACCGCCATGATATTACAAGCTAATATTTGACAGTTGGCAAAGGCATATGCAGCTTTTGATAGCATGTGTTCAACAAATCATGTTCCAAAGAACTACATATATAGTACGTAGCGTGTGCAATGAGTATATCCTACCACTCGATTACTTGTCTGAAAAGCGTTTGTATTAAATGCCTCGTGAACATTGAATGCACTAAAAGCACATATGCATTAAGGTAACATAAATGGTACAAATGTGTGCACTGACGTGATTGGTTTGGTAAAACCGGTGAAGTGATTACTATTGATTTCTAATATGACAAAAATGTACCTGTGAAAGTTCTGTTAAACATTCGCTGACTAATATTATAGCCATCATTAGGTTCGACTCCTTCTGTCAGGGATTGGTTCAGTGCCAGTGCGTAAAGATACACAGCATCGTAAAGGAAAGCCGCATTCAGAAAAACCTAGAATTGTAAAAAGAACAATGCATATAAAACATGGGTGACAGTATTCTTTCAGTATGAATGTACACAGCGCATAACAGTAGTCAACACGATTAGGATATAATCTACATATGTGTTCTCGTTGTGTATTAATCTATATAGAAACATAGATAAATATGAGTATTTAACTTTGAACCGAAAATTTAGACAACAATATGAGCACAATAAAAACACACGGGAAAGTAATACGCTGATACATTTGAAAACAACATTTTACTGTAAATTTTGATTATTTTAAACTACATTATTGTGAATATCAATGCTGAGCTGATTCCATAGAAGGAGTATGTTTGAGTATATTCCAAATAGAGATGCTTGGAGATATGTTGTATAATCGACATTATATACTAGATGATAATAGAAAACGCGTTGTGTAATTAAAATGCAACATTATCTGTAGAACAACTGCCGTGACGTGGTGCGCAGTAAAAGCGTTAAAGAATATATATGCATAATTATGAGACAATTGAGATTATTCCCATTCGAGTAAAATACAAAATAATTGAAAATTGAATCGATATAAAACACACAGTTATAAATATTTATTAGTTTGTTGTGAAATTGATACACGATCGTAGTTATTTATTACAGCCTTGTGATATATACTTATGATCCGAAA